GAATGCTGAAAACGCGCAGGATATGAATGACATGATTGGTCAGTTTGGTGTTGGATTCTACTCAGCCTTTTTGGTAGCTGACAGAGTTGTAGTAACAACTCACCACAATGATGACAAGCAATACATCTGGGAATCCGATTCAAACAGCTTCAGTGTCATTGATGATCCTAGAGGAGAAACCTTAAAGAGAGGTAAGTGACAGAGTAAATATATGCAGCATGAGTTGGGAAAGCTATTTGCAAGCTCACAGAATCAAAACTACCTACTGACAAGCAACAAAAAAAAAGATGACTCTGAACTAATAAGTTTTGTGTAACATAATTGCTTGATTCATTCATTCATCATTGTGAAACAGCATTGAGGTGCTCTGAGAGTATTGGTAACATATTTAAGAAATAAGAGCTTTAGACTGATTGCTCATGTTTCTCATCTGCTGCAATCCATTCCATCATTCTCTATGTTATTTTGGAATGCAGCCTAAGTCCCTAGATGTATTATTGAAGAATAAGCTTACCATGGACAAACTATGAATGGCAACATACTGGCCCAAAAAAAGTGGCATTGGCTTAAGAGAGAAGATATTGAATAACACGTTTTGACCTGCAATTTAAAAACCTGGCCCTACATCCATTCTACACTTTGAAAATAAACTGGAGTTAGTGGAGTTTGACATTGAAAATAGGATGTTTTTTGATATTTCTGGTTGTACCTTATGCTCTACTGCAATTGGTTTTTGATTCACCCTTTATAGTATCACAAATCACAATATATTCCTTACTGCTTTGATAACAACCTGGCATGCTTGTCCAATCTTATCTTTAATTTTAACTTCATAAAGCAATTTATTCTGTTTTGTTTTAACTGTCAAGATTATATTAATCTTATTTTATTATAACACGCTGTTCAGATACCTCTGTAGACATTCATATTTGACGTTGCTGTCTTTGTGTTAAGATTTCCTAGGCATTAAAAGGAAATTATCTCTGTATGACTAATAAATGACACTAACTAATTAAAATTGAAATCTTATAAGTTTTGATAATAACTGTAGGAAAAATTTTAAAGTTACTTCTGTTTGCCATTGTGGTACTGCATCTGCAATGTTTCCAAAAGCACTTTTTATACAGAAGGTAAAACAAAGAGTATCTTCTGAATAATTAGCTGAATGATATTTTTAGCAAGTCTTCTTCTGAAGAATCTATAATAGAGTACTTTTTATACTTTCCTGTACGTAAATACTTTTAATGAATGATGATGAATTGTTTATACATAATTCCGATACTGTTCTCAGCTCCTAGATAAAACTAAAAAAGAATTTATTTTACCAGGAACTACTGTGAGTCTATACTTGAAGCCAGAAGCAAGAGACTTCTTAGAGCATGAAACCATTAAGACCTTGGTGAAGAAATACTCCCAGTTCATCAACTTCCCAATTTATCTTTGGACCAGCAGAACTGACACTGTCGAAGAACCAGTAGATGAAGATATCACAGAAGAAAAAGATAAACCACAGACAGATGAAGATGCGGCAGTTGAAGAGGACAAAGAAGAAGATAAAGCAAAGACAAAGAAAGTTGAGAAAACCATCTGGGATTGGGAGTTGTTGAACGACAGCAAGCCAATCTGGACAAGGAAGCCTAATGAAGTGACAGACGAAGAGTACAACGAATTTTACATGGCGTTGACCAAAGACACTAAAGCACCATTGACTAAGATCCACTTCGTTGCTGAAGGAGAAGTCACCTTCAAGGCATTACTTTTTGTACCTCAAGTTCAACCTTCAGAGAGCTTTAACAGATATGGTACCAAAACAGATAATATCAAACTGTATGTAAGGCGAGTATTCATCACAGACGAATTCAATGATATGATCCCATCTTATCTCAACTTTATTAGAGGTATAGTTGATTCTGATGACCTGCCCTTGAACGTATCTCGTGAAACATTGCAACAACACAAGTTGATCAAAATCATTAAGAAGAAGTTGGTAAGGAAAGTTTTGGATATGTTGAAAAAACTGCCTGAGGAAGAGTATCAAAAATTCTGGAAAGAGTTCTCGACAAATATCAAGCTTGGCACAATTGAAGATCCAGCTAATCGCACTAGATTGGCTAAGTTATTGCTCTTCCACTCTTCTAATACAGACAAACTCATTAGTTTAGCCGAGTATGTTAGCAGAATGAAACCAAAACAGGATAAGATCTTCTACATTGCTGGATCATCCAAAGCTGAGGTTGAGAAATCACCATTTGTTGAAAGGCTTTTGCGCAAAGGCTATGAAGTATTGTTCCTAACAGAAGCTGTAGATGAATATGCTATCTCAGCTATTCCAGAATTCGAGGGCAAAAAGTTCCAGAATGTCGCTAAAGAAGGTTTCAGCTTAACAGAAGCTGAAGGCGGCAAGGAACAATTAGAGCAACTGAAAAATACCTTTGAACCTCTCACCAAATGGCTGGCAGATGATGCTCTTAAAGACAAGATCGCTAAAGCCCTAGTTTCCGAGAGGCTAAGCGATTCTCCTTGCGCATTGGTAGCTAGTATGTTCGGGTGGACGGGTAACATGGAAAGACTCGCCATTTCAAATGCTCATCAGAAATCTGATGATCCTCAACGTAGCTATTACCTCAACCAGAAGAAGACCTTGGAAATCAACCCGAGGCATCCGCTGATCCGAGAATTGCTCAAAAGGGTCAATGATGATCCTTCTGATCCAACTGCCAAAGATATGGCTGTCATGATGTTTAATACAGCTACACTGAGGTCAGGATATATGCTAAGGGACACTGCAGATTTTGCTCAGTCCATTGAAGTAATGATGAGGAAGACGCTTGGTATCTCTTTGGATGAACAAGTTGAAGAAGAAGAGGACATTTCAGAAGAAGCTCCATCAGAAGAGACTAAAGAAGATGAAAAAGATGAAGCACACGAGGAATTGTAAATAGACTACTATGAATAAGAGTGCATGTGGTGTGTTAATGATTTTTTTTTGATTGTTGAACAATCGTGAAAGGCTGTACTATGCTTTTTATTATTATATGTTTAGAGGTTAATAAATTAATTTATAAATATGTCTACTTAAACCAAGCTGACTATCCGAAAATCGACTCTGTTTCAAAAAAAAATCATAATAACCGTAAAGGAGGGTATATGACAAGGCTCGTCATCTAGAGGTAGATAAAATTTGGCTGACTTTTTTATTAAACGTCAAAGTTGGAAATATTTTTTTCACGTATCTTCAAATAATTATGTATTATTGGTGTAAGTGGTCCAAAAAAATGTATAGTGGATGAACATATCTTCATAATGAGACCTCACACGGCCAATGTGCCGAAACTTAATTTGTTATTACAACAAAAAATTTGTTGATTTTTACATTTATTTTTAACTGAAAAACGCAAAACGATAAATCTGAAATAATAGCATAAGTAAAAGCATTCGTGGCACTTAACATCCACAAAAGTTTATTCAAAAATGCTCAACCGTTTCAGCAAATTTCTAATTTTTTTTTGAGGAGACATTTTTTTGACAGATGTTGTTTCTTGGACAACAACATCCCATTCATGCACATTGTCATCAAATTTCAAACAGTTTGTTTTCCGACGTTTCAGAAGGTCCTGATCATTTTAAAAACATGTTTGCAGGGGTTAGAAATTTGCAGTTAGAGGTTGTAGGGGGTGGCGAAGAGTAAATGCCAATTTTTTGGTGCTAGCAATGTATACGTTTCCAACCCAGGTAAGCACTTAGTAGACACATTTCATAAATGAAAGATTTTTCTGTGCATTTGCCCTTTTCATGTACGCGGGTCGGACAATTCGACGAGCGCGCGCTCTACTTTGGTGGGGCGGTAGGCTAGATCGTATTGGTGGACTGATTGTATGATTCCTTTGTTATACATGTTCGTAGCCTATGATTTTCTAAGAGGGATTAACAGCGTTGTGTAGAAAGTGCAGCGTTGTCAACCTCTACTGGGCGCCATTGTTTCATCTATGGGCCTTTCACTTACATCTAATTGACGCTTAATCCCTAAGGAAAAATAATGCTGCATTAGTTACAGGCATGCAAGTAATTGCATATTGTTAATGGGGGTATGAAATAAATAAGACATTTAAAATAAATAGGTTTATTAATCTTTAGAAGATACTCCTCAAGGTGTCAAATAAGAACTGCCAGAATGCTGAAAAATAAGTATTCTGTAAATGGCACTGAAATCCTGTAGCAAAATACTAAAAACCATTACATTCTGATCCATTGAACTTAATACAAAAAAGTGGATATTCATTTATTTGAGGACATTGACATTGTGCTGCTGTGGCGAATAAAAAAGAAGGTTGTTTTACCATATAGACTGACCATATTAGCAAACCTTCAATTATTGTAATGTTGGTTTATCGATACAAACTGAGGGTATTTAAAACATGGACATATGAAATGGGAAGCTTAATTCAACTGGGAAAACTTTTCACTTAACAAAGAATGAGAAAACTGGTTTTTCTGGATTCAATCAAAAGCATTTGCGAAAACGAAAAAAACTCGTCAAATATCGTTATGAAATACTAAATGATATAATTAAGAAAAAAGCCGATGAAAACAAAATTATAGTCGATTGCTCAAGTAGTTTTTGAGAATTCCTAATTGCTTATTCCAAAACAGCCAACATGACAAGGTTCGAATTGAACTTTAAAGCAATACACTAGAATTTACCTCGCCAATATAAATTAAAAACCAGTGTTATTTTTAAGCGAAAAACATGAGTACTTTTTTTATTTTAAACAAATTCAAAGGTTCCATGTTTGTGAGAAATCGGACAAATGGGCCACGTCATTAGAAAAACATACGTGTTCATAAACATTTAAAAAAGGGACATTTTGTTGCAAAGCATTTTTTCCAACATTTCATACTTTCACTTATACATTGTTAAAGCTGACATGGCCAATATGATCTGACTATGAATGTCACAATAGCACAGCATCCATAGAGATCTCAAATAAGAGCCCAATATACAGTGATACCGTGTCTGCTACACCGCTACCAAAGAATATCTAAATGTACCTACTTCCCAGTAAATAATAGTTTGAGAGATGCATTTCTCGCTAATATTTATTCTCTTTTAATAAATTTGTATTCACGTTAGCCATTATCGTGGTGGGTATGGAATAGAAATAAAATAATGTTTAAGGGGAGAAAATAATAAATCATTGATCCGTGAAAAACAATTTATTTGCCTGAATTCAAAAAAAGGCTCGAAGAGTATTCATCAACGTCTGCCAGAGAGCTGCAACGAAAAATTCTTAATGTAAATGTGTATTCATAAAAATTGGAATCAATAAAAAGCACCTCGGTTAAACTTTTCCAGCGGACTTGATTTTGTACTTATGCAAGAAACCTTACAAAGGATTTTTTATGGTCCCGCTACCCTCTACACCCTTGTGCCACACCATACCAATATAACTATATTACTTCTAAAACCAAGTTGTAGTTAAATAGGTTCGTATCATAAGCAACTAGATCAAATTCATCCTGAAACATTTCAAAAGCAGTGATTTACCATGCCAAGATCAAAGTTTTTTACCAACAGCTCTACTAGCCGAGTGGTTGCTACTAATCGCTCGACCCGAGACACGCGGACTCGAACCTCCTAATCGGTTAAGTTGATTCCAAGTCATGTATGTTGTGTTTTGGGTTGTCTATATCACGCACCAGATTGGTACAAGATTAATGATATTTATGTAGTTTGCATCGCTGAAGCTGGGTTATTCAATAATCAGTTACCAGTAGATGACTTGAGAAGTAGTACAGTGTTGGTACTACAGGGTTTTTTTTTTTTTTTTTTTTTTTAACGAGGGGGGAATGCATTTACGCACCATACCATAGCACGAGCTACGACGTGTGTGGGGCTCCAGGGTCTTGAAGAGATCACCTAATACCCACTAAACCCTAAACCTCCGCGTGGCCCGACTCATCAGCGTCTCGGTAGGCCATGTGTTGTGCGTGACCTGCGGTCTGCTACAACGTCTCCTCATGTGTTTCAGTCTCTGGGAACGCCGGGTTGGTTCCCTTTACCTCGCACATTCTATCGATGTCGTTAAGCGATCATCGATAGAGGGTCTGCTAGTTTCTCTTGAAACTCTTGTTTTCGAAAAATCAAGAGTTTCAAGTCCTCTTACCAATATGTTGTTCCTGGTCCTGGTCCTGAAGGGTCCTGGTCCTGGTCGGGTCCTGGTCGTGGCGGGTCCTGGTCCTGGTTGGTCCTGGCCCCGGTGGGTCCTGGTCCCGGTGGTTCCTGGTCCTCTGCATTCACGCCGTGGGTGGGGGGGGGGGAGCAGCCGCAAGTTCTCCTGGTCTCCTAGTCAAGGTTCCAGTTAGCGGGTGCCAACTGGGACCTTGGTCTGGGGTACCTGGTTCTGCGGTTGCGAGGCCTCTCGTCCGGATCGTAGTCCATGAGGAATCGTAGCTGCTCGTTCGGGTGGTCCTGAGCTTTCTCGAAGGTCTTCTCCGCTTTTTTCCTCATGTACTCGTGGATGGTATCCCAATGCAGGTCTCTACGCAAGGTTGAGTTCCTTACGTAGGAAGGTGCATTGGTGGCGATCCGGAGTAGCTTCATCTCTAGAGCAGCAAGTCGCTTGCGGTAGCTGGGGGCAGCGTACCCCCAGACCGCGGAGGCGTAAGCGAGCTGAGGTCTGGCGATGGCCTTGATCAGCCGTAGCTTGGTCGCTAGCGGCATCTGGCTGTGTCTACCCAGTAATGGATAGAGTTGAGCCATGGCTGCTCTGGTTTTTGCGATGACAGCTTCTATGTGCGCTTTCCAGGCGAGTGACTTGTCAAAAACGATCCCCAGATATTTGACATTGTCGCTCCACTGGATATCTTCATCGAAGATGGATGCTTCGAGAGGTCTTGCAATCCTTCTTCGTTGAATGAAGATTGCCTGCGACTTCTGGACGTTGATGCGGATTTTCCATTTCACGCACCAGTCCTGGATGTGGTCCAGTTCATCCTGTAGTCTCCTACGGATGATCTCGGGCCGTCTATGCTTGGCGGCTATAGCAGTATCGTCTGCATATAGGGCCAGCATTGTGTCAGCTGTCTTCGGCACATCGTGTGTATAGATGTTGTAGAGCAGGGGGGCTAAGGCTGACCCCTGGGGCACGCCTGCTTCCAGCTGTCGTCCTTGTTGAGTGGCATGTACCAATCTTCACCGTGAACCATCTTTGTGTTAGATAGCTCTGGATCAGTTGGCACATGCTCGCATCGATTCCGGCGGCTTCCATTTTGGCGATGAGTCCATCGTGCCAAACGCGATCGAAGGCTCGTTCCACGTCCAGCAGGACGAGACCGCTTGCCTCCTGGAGATTGAAGCCGCTGGTGATGTTTTCCGTCAGTCGTAGCGCTTGGAGTTCCGTGTTGTGGGAGGATCTGAAGCCGAATTGCTCTGGGGGGAGAAGTTGCAGTTCTTCTGCCTGCTTCTCTAGTCGAACGGCGATAGCCTTTTCGACTACTTTGCCCATCGAGGAAACCAGGCTGATGGGCCGGTAGTTCTGGGGCAACTTCCGGTCCTTGCCTGGCTTGGTGAGCATTATAACCTGGGCTTCCCGCCACCGCCGCGGGAAGTGGTTAAGTCTCAGGGTGGCATTGGCGATGTTGGTGAGCGCAGCAATGCCTTTGGTGGGAAGGTTCTTCAGCATCCTGTTGTTGATGCCGTCCCTTCTCGGCGCCTTTCTGACCTTCAACCTGCGGATGATCAGACGGATTTCCTCTGGACTGGAGGGGTGATCCGTCTCCTGGCCAGGTGGTCGGCTCCTCATGTTTTCGGCTGCGACTTCCACGGCCTCCTCGTGGTTGTCGTCCTCGTCTTCATGGTAGTTGAGTCTGCATTCGGATTCTAGCGAATCGGCGAATGCTTCGGCTTTTTCTTCACTGGAGTAGGCCAAGCCACGTTGGCCGTGAAGAGTGGGGATCGTGGTGCGCTGACGACGAAATTTTCGCTGCATAGACCAGGCCGTACCATCCTGGGTCTCTAGTTCTGCACAGGCTGCATTCCATCTGCTGTTTTGGAGTTCCGCGAGTGCGTTCTTCAGAGCTAACGATGCTCTGTTTCGCGCAACTCTCGACTCCTCTGTCAACAGTTGGAGATGTTCTCGCTTGAGTCTTCTGTTCTCCCTGATCAGGTGCCTAATATGGTGCGGTGCTGGACCATTTAGGTGTCTAGGAACTGCCGTAGTCTCGGAGCGGGTGCTGTCCTCGTGCGCTCGCAGGACAGCATTCTCCAGCTCCTCTACTGCGTTGTCCAGTTCCTCCGCTGATCGGATGGTTGGAATTTGAGTGATGTTCCTTTGGACGTTGGATTTGTACAGGTTCCAGTTCGTCCGTTTGGTGCTCAAGCTATCTCGAGTTCTAGACCCTGTGCCAAGTGTTAGTAGAATCGGATTGTGGTCCGACGCTCCTTCCACCAGGGTCTCTATCTCGAACTCCTCTCTGATGTTGCGGAGGATGGCTATGTCCAGTACCGCAGGTCGCCCAAGGCCGAATGGAATGTAGGTTGGTTGCTCCGGACCGACGATGACCCCCGCCAGGGCATCGACGTGTTCCTGGAGCTGCATTGCATTCCTGTCTTCGACGTTGTTGTTCCATGCCGGAGACTTGCAGTTTAGATCTCCGATGACTATGCGTGCTCCTGGGCCTCTCAGGAGGTCAGCGATGTCATCTTCGTCTAGGGCCTCCCCTGGTGGCACATATAGGGAGGTGATTCTGTAGGGACGGTGGTTGTGATGGACCTGGACCGTGATTCCGTCCCCATTTATGTCTGCGGCATCGTCGAGGACATGACTCGTCAAGGTACGTTTGACGAGTAATGCGACTCCTCCACCTCTGCCCCTTCTGTCGTAGCGGTACGTTTCGTACCGCGGGAACGTCAGACTATGGGCAGCATCCAACTTCGTTTCTTGGATGGCCATCACCTCTGGTTGGTACTGGTCTAGTATCTCCTGGATTTCTGGTTTCCGTGCCCTGAATCGGTTGATGTTCCAAGAGATAATGCGTAGAGATTCTACGTTTTGACCTGTAGACATTTCGGGTCTAGTGCTTGTCTTGCATCTTGGCCTCGAGTGCATCCAGGCGGGTTATGATGGCTTGCATCATTGCTAGCAGTCTGTCATCGCCGTGTTGCTTCTGCGCAGTAGTTCCAGTAGCAGTGGCGGCTGCTGGGGCAGAAGTTGACATAGGTTTCTTCACTTTTTGAGCGTAAGAAGTCCTATTTGTGGTGGGGACTGCTTTGGGGGCAGAAGCAGCTTTTTTCGGGGCCTTACTACATCCCTTGTAGTTGGCGGGGTGGCCTTCTCCACAGAGGCAACACTTGGCGTTTCGTTGCCCTGTTGGCGGCGCTGGCAGACTGCAGCTGGTGCTGTTGTGGTCCTCTCCACACTTAACGCACCGTTCAGCGAGACGGCAGTTCCGCTGTGTGTGCCCGTACCGCTGGCAGCGGTAGCACTGGCTGGGCTCGGAAGACTTTTTCTTCCTCTCGAAGCTGACCGTGAGCATGGCCAGCCTCTGGATCTCTGCAAGCTTTTCCGGCATCTTCGTCTTGACGAGGAAGAGCGGAAGTGGCTTCTTTGTGGTCCTTGAGGTCAACTGCTGAACCTCGGCGTCTACGATGCCTTGGCTCACCAGATCCTCTTTGATGTCATTGACTGACATCTCTCTGGGTAACCCACGAATGACCCTCTGGTCCATCCTGTCCTCCTTCAGTTGATAGGTGAAGAAGGGCCGCTTGATGGACTCCAGCAGTGCGACTAGCTGACGGTAGTCAGCTGGTGTATTTGTGAATACCTTCACACTGGTACCCGCCGTCCTCGCTTTGGAGAATTGAATCCCCTTGCTGTTCATCATCCTGCTTAAGGATGACCAATCAGCGGTGCCCTCGATGTTGATTGGCGGAACTCCTGTTCCTGCCATGGGGGCCTCAGTGGTCCTGGTTGCTCTAGGACCACTCTTCTTTGTGGCAGCTGGCATCTTTCGCTGCCTGGGTTCTTCTTCTTCTTCTTCGGAGGAAACTCGCACCCGCTTCCTCCGTCTGGTGGCGACACTGAAATCGGTGTCGTCCGTCCTCTTCTCGGCTTCTTCTTCCTTCGGTCCTTCGGTCTGTTGAGTGCCCTCTTCTTGGGTGTCCATCTCGTCCGATGTCGCCTGGTGGTCCTCTTCCTCCTCTTCTCCTGTCTTCTTTGCGGCCTTCTTCTTGGCCCTGCGGAGCTTCCCGCTCAGGTCTTCAATCTCCTGTCTGGCCTGCAAGAATGCTTCTTGCAGGTTTCGCATCTGCTCTTCCAGCATGGCGAAAGCATCCTTCTTTTCTTTCAGCTGGTTAACCAGCTTCTCAATTTTTGCCATCGTAGATGGCAAACAAACAATCTATCGCAATGAAAATTGCAATAAGATTGCTCAATATGTCCGGGTGGGTCGCAGTCGCACAAGTGTATGCTCGTGACGGCTGCTAGCTCGGAACTGACTACAGGGTCGACAAAAAGGTTCGCCTATAAGTACCTGGCTTCGCCTCCCCACTACTACCAATAGCTCTGCACAGCGCGACCTTTTATATCCCATAACCTTAGCTACCGCTACCAGTAGATCTTATTCTTGCTTCTACCTTATTTTTTATTTAATAAACTCACGTATTTCTGTATTTCTCGTTACCGTTTTGCTTTCCTTCGGCGTTGGATAGAAAATTTCAGGCGTGAAAAGGTTTTCTAACAGATTCTATAAGAGAATACGAGATTATTTTACCAAACGTTAAGAATAAAAATATTATTTAGCTTTAATTTACGTAAACAATTATCAACTATGTATATTTCTTCATCAAACAATTTTCAAAATTCAATTTTTCAGATATAAACACATTTTAAGTATATTCATTTGTCTTAAGCATGGGCGCCCAGTGGGGAAGGGGCAGATGCCCCCCTGGATTGTGCTTCAAAGTGAAATATTCTTAAGAAGATACCCAATCCTTGGCTAAGAAGTGGCGTGTGGGAACATCCCAATATAGAAGATATTATCGAATCCAAGCGAATAACCAAATTTCTGTATTATGTACCGTGTTTGTAATATGGTT